TTACCTCGAAAAAAAATTTCAGGAAAAAAGTTAAATAGAATATTTTTTGTGCTGAAATTTTAACAATTCAGGCTTTCTTATTATATTTTTATATTTTCTTATTATATTGTGTTCAATAGCTGGGTTATTTGGGTTACCGTTACAAAAACTAGAACACTAAAATTACCAAATTTGTAATTGTAGTACTTAAAAATGGTATACAAGGCATACATTTTCAATATTTTTCATTAAAATCACGAAAAACATGACTGATTTTCATTTTCTTTTTCTGGGTTGTTACAAACTAGGCAACATCCTGTTCCCAGGTTATCGTTGAGTTTTGGGACACCCTGTTTATGGAATATTTTGGCCTTTCACAATGTCTATTTATATACGCAGAAATGTTTATTCTCCTGGAACTTAATCCGTTAACTTCATGGCCATGGAGTTACCTTGTTTGAAGCTGCCCCTTTTTATGAAAGATAGGTACTCACAGAGGACAATGACCATGTTACTTTCATCAATTACATTTCTTTAACTACAAATATGTGGCTCTAACTCTGTACTAATTTACATGGATATGAAGTATTATTTCATACAAGTAATATGATTTATTCTATGATCAGTAAAGTTGTTTACAAAGTCTCAGCTTTTATTGAAATGAGATATTAGTAGCAATGCTCACCTCTGAGGATTGGGGTACCTCTTCCAGTAGCCGCAAGCAACTTGGTCCCAACTGTAGTTGTAAATAGTAGAATTTTCAAAATATCTTGCCATTTTTGCTGTTTTTTTTCTTATTTTTTAGTGGAATGATTGTTGTTGCGCAGCTTCGAACCTCAGCACATCCTGCTGGAGATATCCGTCACCAACCTGCAGTGCATCAACGTCTCGACCAATGTTACTCATTCGCCGTAAATATTATGTACACACGTATCAGATTACATAAACCCTTACCAAGTAGGTCACATACACGTAAATCCACAATTAAAACGAAAATTACTTTGAAATCTGACCTCCGCGATACAGTCTTTGTGGTGAGGGTCACGTATTCGCTTGCATTCGACATAAACTCTGTCCAATCAACAGCACTTTAAGCATAATCAAGGACGGACGTCCTCGCAAGCGTAACGCGCATAAATGGTTTGTTCTCGATAACTATTATGACAGCACGCAATAAAGTAATATTCTGCACATCCAACCCATAGCAAATACAACCAAAGTATGCTATATTGGAGACCTACCTGTTCGCAGAATGAGGTTCAATATTCCCTCTGCGGCAACTAGCAATGTTAAAACTCAATCACACGCCTCTAATACAACTCCAGAGGTTTATTTTGAACATATGGCTAAATATCCAACTGATAATAACATGTTAATATTCATTTTCGGTATTTTGTATTAAAATTGTGCAAATGTATCTGTCAGATAATTCCAGGCCAGAGTCCATTCATAGAGTAGGTACTCTGTGGTCCATTCGTCCATTCCGTTCCACAGAGGATAAAATGACGACAGCGACGTCGAAAACTGACAACAAATTAACAGTGTAAAGGTGGATTCACAATGTAAACGTTGCGTGATATGACCTTGCGCTGACTAATCAGGCGCTGCGATGCTTTTAACGCGCGATGCAATTTAAAAGCTTGTTTCAGGTAAGCTTTTTATCGCAAAACGCGGCAATACGAGCAACGACGAACTGTCACTGTCGTTTTTATGGCAGGATACTTTTTCGTTATAATTTGAAATGTTTTTTGGGGATGGAATCTTAAGTTTCATAAGTGGATTTAGTGGATTCTGCATTCTAGCTGCTTAGTAGTAAAAAAAAAATTGACTTAGAAGATAGTCGGTAAAAAGAATTTAAACATAAAAAAGTACCAATTGTATCCACTAAGAAAAACCAAATAGGTATTTTAAATTTAAGTAGTAGACATAATATGGTGTATAGTTAGCTGGTTTGTCGAATTAAAATAGGGAATCTAACATAGGTACAAAATGGAAGAATAAATGGAATCCGCAAACGATGAGGCATGTTTATAACTAACGTCTTCCTTATTATTATTAACCTATAAACTAAACCTTTGTAAAGGTTAGTAAACTAGTATTACTAACACACCAACAAAACTCACAAACGTCAAAAATACGAGGTCTCTCAACAACTATTGTGCATTCGCGATCAAATCGCACTTCGCTATTGCCACCGCAATGCGTTAAATTGCCGCAATTCTATTATGTCTCATTTCTGTATTGTGATTCCACCTTAAAGCAAGCAACGCCAACGCACGCCTCGATGACAAGTAAAAGCTTACGAAACTGACACTCAAGCCTAGTGGCCGCCATTAAGGAAATAGAACAAAGTAAAAGCGTATAGCTTAAAGGACAATTTATGCGTATGTATTAAAATGTTTTTGTTCCGACTAGTGCTGGGTAATAAAAACATTTCCATTCAGAAAAAATAACAATTTTCAGAAAAATAAATATCTTTCCGGATATTTTTCCAGTATTTTGCCGGATATTATTCCAATATTTTTCCTTTAATTTTCCACATTTGTCGTTGACACATGGTCAAAAGTTGAAGTTGCTGAACGAAAACGATGGAGCCAACAACAAGTGGTGGTGGTGTGGTTGTTGAAGGTTCTTTTTCGCTGTTGTGAAATCATTTTAAATATCGTTTCTCTATAAGACGTGGCTTTTATCTATACAAGTTTATTTTATAATTCACGCTAAATAAAACTCAAAAATTATTTCTAAGCCCGGAAAATAAAATTATTTTTTGGAAATGTTTCCGGAAAATATCCACTGTTTGAAATTTTTCGGAAAATTACCAAACGGTAGTACCAACTGCAGTATTGCCGCGCGTAAGAATGAGACGGCGACATGCAACAAGCCTGCTAAGCGTCGTATTCCAGAACTCTACTCAATGCTAAAGTCCTAACTTGAGTAGAGTTGGGTTATGGAAAAAATTGCCATGTTGCAAAAAACCGGGAAAACAGTATTTTTAAGGAAAATAATGTTTTTCCGGATATTTTTCCAATACGTTTCCTTTAATTTTCCACATTTGACGTTAACAGCTGTTAAAAGTTGAAGTTACTGAACGAAAACGATGGAGTCAGCCACGTTTTTTCGCTGTTGTGAAATCATGTTAAATCTTGTTTTTCTTGCTGACTTGGCCTTTAGCTATACTAGTTTACACGTTAAATATTACTTCAAAAGATAGTTCTAAACGAATAACATAATATGTGCCTTCGAAATTATATTTTTCCAATTTTTAAATTTTTTCCAATTAATATTTGAATTTGGTTATATCGGGAATTTCCTGCAAAAACCACTATTTAAAATTTTACGGAAAATTATCCAACGCGCCGGTATGCCTGATTTACATTGATCTTTGATACGGTCACAGGCGCGTAATGTTGGCTAATTTTCCGAAAAATGTCTGCAAATTTAAAAAATATATGTATAATTTGAAGTCCTACATTTAAATATATTTTTTAAGCTTTATTTATTTAGCTGTTATAAAATAAAAATGCTAAATGCAATTTTCTAAAGCCTATTTCGCTTATTTTCACAATAGAGGTCAGTATCTTCAACTTTTCAGGCGTCACGGTCAAATGTTGAAAGACAGGAAAAATTTTCATAATTATTTTTCTGAAAAACATTATTTCTTTCTTTTATTTCAAAATGGATAATCCATCAGACGCAGTTTCTGATCGGGAGAGAATCAAAATGAAGCTGCAGGTTGATCTTCTCGCTCGGAAACCCATCTGATTTCGAGACTACCCGTTCGGTTCGATTCCGATTTGAATCAAAATCAGCATACTGTTGGGAATTAGCTAGGCGGGCAACACCAAACACACAATAAAATACAGAACAAAACCAAAGTAGAAAAACGCGCTCGGCAGTTATCGTAGTTAAACATCAGTGGAAAATGCGAAAAATGGCTAATAATTGTGCTAATTAGCAACTGCAAAAACAGCACAGCTGTGCGAAGAGTAACGGATGTTTCCTTACACAGTTATGTAATTTTGTTGTGTAATCAGAATTTGCAAAATTTATTTAAAAATCAATTACTTTAATTTTGAATGAATTTCGAAATAAACTCAGTACAGAGTACTAAAAAAACCGACCTCAAAATTACGTGGAATTACATGTAATTACCAAGTTTTATTGAAATCGGTTACCGGAAAGTGAGCAAACCTAGATTCATCCCCTAGTTCGCTACTATACGGGACTTGACACAGGAGATTATAAGAATCGGTTCTCACTACTCAAAGTATATTGAGAGAGAAAAACGCCTTCAATTGGAGAATAGCAAAATTAACCATTAAAATAATTGCTCCTTACAATAAAATTTAGGCGCTATTTATAAAAATGAATCTTCGTGCGTGAACAGCCACCCTTGGAGGTGGATGATTATCTTCAAAATTAAATGGGACCACCATGTAGGTAATCTCTTTCCAATAAAAAAATAATCATGAAAATCGGTTCACAAATACGGGAGTTATCGCGTAACATACATAAAAAAACATACAGTCGAATTGAGAACCTCCTTTTTTGAAGTCGGTTCAAAACGAATATGCAGACGCGTGTATGCCGCGTGTTCGTAATATATTGCGGTTGTTACATGGTGCGGTACACTTGTGGTCCTACTTTAGTAGGTCATGAATATCGAACGAGGGATGCTTTCGTAAATTATGCATTTAGTTAGCAAAAAAATGTTATAAAAATATTCTACAAAGTTTGTTATTGTTTTTTTTTAGTTTTCCACGCGAGAGTCACGAGAGAAATAAACATAGGCCATACAAATATTTCTCCCGGCCCGGGAATCGACTCCCGGACCTCTGCGTGATAGTCCAACATGGTAACCGTTCGGCCACGGAGGCATTTAAATTGGTGTGGTAACACTTACAGTACGTAACAAGGTATTCTTTGGGTAACACCCATAAACGGCCCATTCACTACCTGCACGGCAGGCAGTTCGCCGCGCAGGCAGGAGACTACTCACACTCTATCCTGCGTATGGCCCACGTATGGAGTCTCGGAGGACGCATTGCAGGATGGTTTGCACGCTGCGACTGCATTCATAATCATGCATTACGCGGCGGACGGCAAGGCGGACTGCAATGCAGGATAATGAATGCCAAATATAATACTAAGATACTGAAGAGATATTGTAAAACTACTGTGAAAATAGTTCCATGTTTGGACCAAATGACATTGGACACTAAACAGCGTAAGTATAAAAACGAGATCGAATTTTTTGCTCAAAGAACTACGATTGTGGTATAATATTGAGATTAAAAATATTGATAAAAAAAACGATAAAAAATCGATAAAAATATCGGTGTTTCGTTAAATATTATTTACTTTATTATACATAAATAAATTCATTAAATCGTTTAGGCACGTCTTTATGATTACATGATTTCTATTTTTTTTAACCGACTTCAAAAAAGGAGGAGGTTCTCAATTAACCTGGTTTTTTTTATGTATCTATGTAACGCGATAACTCCGATATTTGTGAACCGATTTTCATGCTTCTTTTTTGTTGGAGATAGGGTACGTCCACATTGGTCCCATTTCATTTTGAATAAAATCATCCACCTCTAAAGGTGCCTGTTTACGCATGAAGATTCATTTTTATAAATAGCGCCTAAATTTTATTATAAGGAGCAATTATTTTAATGGTTGATTTTGCTATTCTCCAATTCAAGACGTTTTCTCTCTCAATATACTTTGAGTAGTGAGAACCACAAACTATAAAAGTGAGAACCGATTTTTATGATCTCCTGTGTCAAGTCCTGTATAGTGGCGAACTAGGGGATATTCCAATAAAACTAGGCAAATAGTCGTAATTCCACGTACTTTTCAGGTCGTTTTTTTAGTACTCTGTACTGAGATTATTGCTATGACATGACATTGATGATATTTGATACGGACATGGTGAATGATTTGGTGCAGTTTAATCATTCGACTCGCACACCCGATGAAAGGCATATTCGGTGTCGGTCAATCATTCGACTCGATTTGCCTGTTCGAATGGTTCTCAGGGTCGTATTCCAGAACTCTACTCAATGCTACTTGAAATATACTTGAGAGTCAGGACTTGAGTATGATTCAAAGCACTAGAAATCATACTCAAGTCCTTGCCATTAGGTTCGTATTTCCAGTGCTTGAAATCATACTCAAGTCTGCTCAAATCCTGACTTGAGCATTGAGTACAGTGCTGGAACACGACCCTAAGTCGCGCAAGGCTAACTGGAATTGTAAACGTTGCCAATGCTGCTAAAAGACGCTGCCGCTGATTCCTCGTTATTTAAATTGTCACGTTCATATCGCATCGTTGCGCTTTAATCCAACATGTAAATAAGAACGTTCTCTAGATGCTTTTGCACGAAATTGGCTCTTGCAGAGCAATACAATCTTAACATTGCTTTGGTTTCATTAAAAACTCAAACATGCCTAAAGATGGCATGCCTATATGGCACAAGGCAAATACGAGGGTCACACCGAAAGCTCTTAGAATGTCAAAAACAAAGCAAACTAGCAAGTTAATATTTTTATTGTTTTTCAAAATAGTTTTCATTGACACCAACTCATCGCTGCATTCGGTGGAACCACTGAGAGAAGCATTTTGCCCACTCTTCCTACGGGGGCGGGGTCTCTTCTATGGCCTCTTCAAACGCAGCCACTGCTTCCTTGGCGCCCGAATCGCTTTCCACGGAATTTTTCTTTTATTTTCAGAATTAAATAAAAATCGCATGGTGTGAGGTCCAGCCTGTATTTCTACACCTGACGTCACCAAATAGTCAGTTGTTCGTTGGGCGATGTGTGCTTAGGCATTGTCATGATAAAATAGGATCCTTCTGCGAGGTTGTTTCTTCCTAACTTTTCCAAAACTAGTGGCAAGCAATTGTTGGTATAGGCCACTCTACAGTAACTTTTTTCATTTTCAAGAGCAACACTTACGTAATTAACTGTCCGTCCGAAAAATGTGGCTACCATCTTCTTTCCCACGCTTCGACCTCGCTTTAGTTTTGTAGGCAATTCTTCTAAGGAAACACCCACTGAGCAGACTGTCTTAGTTTCTGGATCGTAACAATCTATCCAGCTTTCGTCACACGTGGCTGTATCGAATACAGCATTTGAGTAACCTCGGCCGAATTTTTGGAACATTTCACGACACCAGTCAACACGACGGAGTTTTTGGGCTTCGGTCAAATAATGAGGTATCGCCGAGCACAAAGCTTCCTGACCACTAAATGTTCTTGAAGGATTTTGTTCACTTGACTCGTACCAATGCCTAAACTTGTCCGGATCTAGTGGTAGGTCACTCTTTTGCTAGTCTCTATCATGAGCCGCATAGTATTAATATTATCTTCTGTCATCGCAGTTTAAGGCCGTGCCTCACGAAGAGCATCAAAAAAATTGGTGCGACCACGGATGGAGCTTCATCATAAAAGGCCAATATAAACTTTCTTGTTGATTTAAATCACAACGAAAATCAGAGAAAATCATTCACGAAAGGTTTCTCGAGTGAAATTCTTGTTGACGTGAAACAATTTTCAACTCGCCGCCACGTTGTAAGAACAAATGACTCGACTTCCTTTATTTTTTTCCGTCCTATAGACGACTTGACAAGAAGAGAAACATGAAGAGTTCTATTTTTTGAAATTTAAATATTTTATTTTACGATTTCTAAGTAGCCAGTTCGAAAAACTTTCAGCGTCGCCCTCGTACGAATTGTCTTCATTTATTCATAATAGTTTTATTTACCTATTGTGTATAATACATATTACACAGACGTCGTTAAACTGATCCGATGCACTTAAACAGTAGCGACGTCACATACGCGACCATTGCAACGCGACAATCGGATCAATCCATATTGCAATACAACAACAAAAACTAAGTTTCTCATAATGCATTTAAATCAAAGTTATAAACATAGCACTATAAATGATTTTGTACGGGGAAAGAAATGAACAAAGAAGTGTTTGTAAAGGTACAGGTATTTATTTATTGTTGAAGCGTCTACTAGATAATAACGAGACACACTCCGTAAGACAAAAGGGAGACTTTCATCAGAAAGCGAAATTATATAATAATAAAAACAACCATACGTTAAACCTACATTATTTCCTCCGATGGATATAAAAATACTCCAATTCAAAACCCACTGCCACAAATATTTTTTGGTCTAATTAATTCACGAGATAATAAAAACAAACATTAAAAATAAACTAAGAAAATAAACCTTATGTAGCACTAATAAGAAATCAACGAATGCGCAATGGTGCAACTCGTTAAAGGGTTACTAAGTCGCGTTATTACAATAAACAGGAAGTATTGTCTGACAATGGGCTGAAAAAGGACGTAGAAAGTTCATTAAAAATTACAAATGTTTCATACACGTACGACTACATCGATTTTGAGGCTCTCAACAGATTCTAAAACAGACCAAAGGAACACATGACCACTACAGCTTTGGTAGTCGACATTCGTCCACGGCAGTTACAACTAGGACACAAAATAATGGCCGGAGTTACGCCATGCATCTTCACTTCAGACTACGACAACATTTCAGCGAATATGTAGATTGTACTGAACAGGTCAGCTGCATCCGGCGGCGTCGCAGTGACGCTGGTTCGCCGGCCGACCAACTAATAATGCCGTCCTCAAGTATTCATTCCGATCCGCTCGAACAGGTACAAAAGTATCTCATTTTATTCTCGTTTATTTACAAGAGGAAAAGAAATAAACTTTTTGTCGTTAGAAAGGTCGCCGTCATTTCTTTTCAGTTTGGTAACAATATCGTTCACAATGATATATCGGATCAGACTGCTCGGTAACGCTTGCACGGTCGTGGCGACGACGCCACGCGATCGAAGATAACCATCGCGAGTGCTAAATAACGTAGATTAGTTCTTCTAAGTACAAAGCGATTATAAAAAAACTCGGGAGACATAAATCAAAGGACGATGCGTACAATTAAGATTTTAGAAGCGCCAATTAATTCTACACTACGAAAATGAAAATGAAGTACGTACAGCACTTTTGGGAACAAATAAAAATAACAAAACCCCATAAAATTCCGAATCCCAATTAAGAATTATTTAAGCTAATAAATCAATATGACGCGAGTGACTAACGATTTGAACGATGACTATGGAGGTGAAAGATAGAATTATGTACAAAGAGGAACTAAGGTATCGACGAGAATCACATCGACACGGTCGTTCGGGCGTCAGCGCGTCAAACGGCGCGAAGACTACGACTGGCCAAATCGGATTGTGAAATATAAAAAAGACATCACAAAATAAAGAGGTCTACCGATAACGATCACTAGTGTAGAATTTAGTATTTTTACATAATTTACTCGAATCTCTATTTTACACATCTAATATTATGACATTTATGAACGGCCAATAAGTAACACGAAATGAAAGTCTAAACTACGAAAGAAAACATAATGCGGCCGAAAATTGGAGAGGATCTATACAAGGTGGGCGCAGGCGACGCGGTGCTGCGACCGCGCCCGGTCCGTCGAGGCCCGCGGCGGCCGCGGACGCCGAGGCTTATTTACAAAACGGCTCTCAGTTGGACTGGAACGTGTCGGTCAGCTCCGCGGTGCAGTCGAACGTCTCCGAGCTGTCCGCGTGCTCCGGGTAGAACTCCCTGTATATCTTGTCCAGCAGCGCTTGCCTGCGAACAACACGGCCGCGTTAATTCCTTCGCCGAACGCTCTACCTCCCGTCGTCGAACGTGGCGAGCGACTCGGCACTGACTTGGCGGCGAGTCCCCCGCCGGGCGGCAGGCCGGGGATGTTCTCCTGCACCAGCTGCTTCAGCACCCACGAGAAGTGGCTGCCGGAGTCCTCGCGCTCCTCGAGCCCCGCGCTCTTCTCGATCAGAGCTGGACACACACGACAAACATTACTCGACAGCCGTAATCGATATTTTGCACTTCAAATACTCGGTAAAGCGGTCGGTGATGGAAATCAATTTCAAGTCCAAACCATTTTCGGCGACAGTAGACTGATTTGTCGAGACTAGAGATAAGATACAACTAACGTGCGCCGTCTACGCTATGTGATGTGCTACGTTCAGACTTCGTCATCGAATCGCAAAAGAGAAGCCCCCGCTTTTCATTTATTCACTGCGGAGCTTGGCCTAACTCCCGTCCGCCGTTCACGTGGACTATTGTAAATCTTTTTTTTTAATCTTAAAAATAGTTGTAAACGAAAATATAAAGCGCTTTTGTAACATAACATTTTTGCAGGATCTATGTGCAGCAGCAGCCACTTATATGAGTTAATAGAAGATTAAGGTGCGCTTTGGTGATGAGGTCGTGCGCTCGTGGCGGCCGCTGGGCCACAACCAACGAGGCAACTTTTTGAACTAAAGCACTAATAAATAATCCTAGTGTTTCATTTGCGCGAATATGGAAACGCTATACTGCTCGGTTTACCGGTCTGCGACACTGCTACGTGTGCAAACGCGCTGTGGTGAACTTAACGCGCGATTGGTGACTAGACAATTGTATAAAGTTCGTATTTGCTAAGTGACTGACGTGCAGGACTCGACTCCTCAAAGAGTAGAGTCTTAGAAGTTTTTACTCAAAAATGAGCTTATACGGAAAAGAAACGATCATTATGATCTTATTTTTTCTTATAACAAAGCTAACAGAGCAAATTTTGTGTGACACTTTTCTCACACATCTCAAATGCACACGTGTCAGATTGTTCAGCCGTAGTGGCGGCGAGGCCTTGAATATATCACGTTAGACCAATCGAAAGACGCATGAATAACTGGATTACTAGTGCATACAGCGGGCTTCGCTTCGCGTCTTATGTTAGACTTTAATTCGACGCAGCGCACACTCGCAACGGCTCTGGCGCCGGACACACGTTCATTGCTTTAACCCCCGTTGCTTTATTAAATAAAATTGAAACAATAATCAAAACTTCCAACTTGGAACTATAAACTAGATGCCAAGGGCCAGGACCAAAGCAATGAAACATGCGTTTGTACTTTCCAAACGATTTTAATGTTAGCAAAAACATGATAACAATTTTTAGAGATTAAGTACAAAATTAGATCCTCAATTACATTTAAAAAGTTAGCCGACATTTTAAAAGCTAATTTTGATAAAATTTTTGGATTTGACCAAGTTACAAATATCACAAATTGTTAGTATAGATAATTTAGATTTTTATCTTACATAGACAAAACGTGTTTAAAAACCTACAGGTATAGAACAATAAACAATATAAGTAAATAGACATAATTTATCTTAGATTACAGAAACACATTCTATAGATATGTGCATCATTGGAATCGGTATGTGAGTTAGCTATGTTTTACCGAGTCGCGTGTTCGCCGCGAGGGGAGCTGGAATGTACGGATTTTTACAAATCGCCGAGCCTTTCATGTTATGACTTAGCCGAATTTACCGACGTACCTCGGGGCTTCTGTGACCTTACACTGCAGTCAAGGACAAATAAAGAACTTTGCTCTACATTAACTATTAACGGGGTTTAACTTACGGCTACATACTTTCAAATCACTTTTTAGTATATAACCGATTAAGTACATAATAGAGTAAATAAATAAAATATGTATAAAAACAACATGTAAACAAACAATAAAATAAATGTTAAAATTAACAACTATACCAAAGGGTAATGGTAACGTTACAATTAAAGCCTAAGTTTATTTAAGGGATTTGGAACACATTAAGGTTTCTTGTAGATATAGGTGACTTACAAAGTAGTATGGCGTTAATCCTTTTCTATTAGAAAGGCCAAATCCATATGTGGATTGTACCTATGCTAAAGTTTATGTTATTCTAACTGCAATTGCTAATTACTGTGATAATATAAATATGCTAATATGGTACGGTAATAAGGTATGGTAATAAGTTCATCACAAAAACTACATGTACTGGTATTGTTGCAATGTGTAGAAAGATTGTCAATTGTTTATAATATAATTTCTTGAGGTATTTAATTTCGCTATGGAGACGTTACATCTTTGTTGGTCCACCAAAAGGAAATTGAATATTTCGATACCTCCAATGAACATTACGCTAACTTAATTTTTTGAACTGTTCTGTTTTTATTTTCTTTCTTGTTTCTTTACTATTTTTTTCTTCTCATAATTCGGGGTGTACAATATAAGTAAATAAAAAGCTGGTTACAAGAATAACAGAAAATGACCAAAAAATAAAGTTGGTGTAGTGTTCATTGGAGGTATCGATTTAATAATAAACTCTCAAATGATTTCAACTATTTCAAATGACGACGCACTTAGATGGTTGAAATACAATTATGGATATCAAAAACATTGTAGGAAGTCCGAATATAATTAGGTAGTTGTTGGCAATATTTCTAAAATCGGTAAGTACATTGGGTATATTTGTAGTTTTTGGCATGCTGAGGCGGGTTGGTCATTTGGTTTACGGTATAAGTCTAGTGGGAAAAGTGTAACATTGAAATTAACAGAACACTTTTTAAAACACTTAAATTTAATAGGTACTAGACACGTGTGTGATTATCATTTTATAGGTATCACGATATTGCTGGGTACCTTGTTGATCCTTTTAACCAGTGGTATAAAAAATTTAATTTATATAGTATTATTTGTTTTGTTACACAAATTCCAATGTAACAAAGCTGTTTAACAAGAGTTGTTCACTATTTGGTATTGGTAAAAATCCACCAATGCAAAGAGTTATTCACGATTGTCTCATTAAATTATGTACCTATCTAGCCTTAACAATCTGATGTCGGCAAATCAGACATGCAATAATTTTGTATTCCGATTTATATATGAATCTGTTTGACGTGTATCCCATACTACCTCGTTGAAAATGTCGTAAATGCAAATTCTACCTGCCAAACTGACCTTAAATTGTGATGTTTTAAATCCATTTCGAGTATGCCCTTGAATTGTACGTGTATTCAAGTGTGACAATACTAATGAACGAGGCATGGCGCTAATCGGTTCTAAGATTACGTTAAAATCGCCTAAAAGTCTAAAATCGTTACATTTTACATATTGCTTTAGGTTCGAGACAAATTCGTAAATTGATAAAATAACTTTTGTACTTTGATTAATACTAGGTCTTACAATATTGAATCACTTATTTTTCATTGACTAATATTTCCTAAGCTTAAAGACTGGTACGTAACTATTCGATTATGTATAACATAAATTCATTTACTCCATGTGAAAAAATAAATGGAGCTATAAAAAGTTGAGTCTCTACATAAGGCATTTTTCAATAAAGTCCCTTAATAAATTTGGGAAAGTTTTAACACGAAAGTTTGAAAACGTAAAAATACCAAGTCAACTTATCACTGGAAGTATTTTAATACATAGTTTTTTTTTATAAAATTCCCAGTGATGCTTTTCTGTTTTCAGGCCTACAGTTTCTCTTATTTCCTCAAATACGGATTTAAGTTTGCTCATCCCGTAGCATCGTTCGGGAGATTCCTTCTGCCTGTAACAGACGTGTTACAAGTGTCGGAGTTTGAATCTGAGTCAGACATATCCGCGTCTATGTCAGGTATGTGGGCCATGCTGTCAATAGTAAGGATAACTGCGTCAGATGAGTGGACCACCGTGTCATGTGTATGCGTGTCTGTATCCGGTGTGTGGGCATGGGCAACCGAATCGTGCGTGTGGAGGACGGTGTCAGACGTGTGGGCGCTGACTTCAGGAGTCGTGTCGAGGTGGGGATGGTGTCTGTGTTTGTGTGCGCAGGCATGCAGTAGCGAGTGATAGCAACCTGTGATACGCGTGCGCAGCGTGTCGTCGAGCTCGCGGTCGGCGCGCTGGGCCTCCGCGCTCGGCTTGGGCGCCGCCGGGAACACCACGAGCACAATGCTCATGTTGTCTTTGCTCCCCTAAAATCAAATAAATGCTCACTCATCTTAATGATTAAAGAATACACGGCTTGGCTACACACACTCAAGTATACTAATTAGCTATTTCAAAATTGTACAGTCGGCGCCCTCACTTAGGTATCCACAATTTGTTCTGTACAAATAGTGGATACATAGTTGAGGGCACTGAGTGTACACTGAAACCATATAAATAAACTGTTTTTTGTTTAGTCAATTAAATTATGGATTTGCAATTGGAGAATAAGAAAATTGTAAAGTAAAATGAAGTCAGAAGAAGTCAGTGAAACATGACCTTGGGAACTGTAAAGGGCCCGAAATGTACGCGAATCTGGAAAAAAGTTGGACTCTATTGCTTTTTTTCATATTACTCATTCAATATTTCTACACATTGGATATTAAAGTCAATAAATTATTACCCAAGAATTAACTATCCTTTATATCATAATTTCCCAAAATGGTCCCTACAACGCCCCAGTGGGTGCTGAAGACTCCTGGGGGGGGGCAAGATAAAAGTCTCGGAAGCAATTGGGGGACATTGACATTGTTCAGGGTGTGCCCACATTTAAAAACAAAACCTGAATTATCTATATACACTACACTACAAATATATAATTTTTTATCCTTGTTATTTTTTTCGTATTAACTTAATTTAAAAAATATTGTTTTTAATTAGTTTTTGCAGTGGTGGGTGTTCATATTTTTTTATCTTTCCAAGTGTGCAGTGAGCCAAAAGGTTTACAAACTTATGTTTGAAGTAATATAAATATTCAGAACCTTTTATTTTTTAAACTAATTTCTGAATATTTATTTAATTTATAACGAGATGCAACAAAATAATCTCATCAGGGCAATTTTAAGGCTTTCAAACCTATACTATTAAATGTAAAGTGTATATAATATGTCCTGTCAACACCACTAATGTGCATTTGTTTAATATATTTTTTATATTTTTATTTTATATTTTGTTTAATATATATATATATGTGTTTATATTAGTTTACTATCAATAGAAGAATACGTCTATAATGTATTCTTTAAAAATCGCTACTATTATAGTAGCAATCTAATGAAAATCATAAGGCAAATGTTTAGTATAATACAACGGTAACATAAAATTAAACCAACACCAACAAACTAACACTGTGTAATGTGTGACTACCTGCCCCACAATGCACCACTTTATTAAAATCTCTGCCCTCCTCATTTACCAACTACCATGCCCTGCTGATAACATTGTTAGAACAAACATAACATCATGCTATTTAGAGAGCAGCAAGCCAACAGGTAATTGGCCGTGTTATTTTTAGTTTTCTTACTCATGTTGTTTCCAATCAGAAGTATGGCAGTAGTGAGTTTACTGACATCACACAAGATAAGCACTTGTTTACCTTATAGAGGCAGGTGTCGATGACTTGATTAGTGATCTGCACCAGATCATCAGTGAGTTGCAGCAGTGAGTGCACATACGCACACAGCGCCTCATTGCTCATCACATCCCACACTCCATCACACGCCAGCACCAAGAACTCATCCTCTGTCTCATTCCTCTCATGCACTGACACCTCTGGCTCGGGAGACACCAGCTGCTCACATGGCCCTCGGTCAAGCACCTTCTTGTATTCATAGTCCCCCAGAGCCCTTGACACAGCTAAACTGCCATTCACACGTTGTATCATGACAGAACCGCCAGCCTGAACTATACGAGTCTTCTCAGATGGCAATTCTGGTTTGTGATCACGCGTAGCAAAGATCGGCGCGCCGTTCCGCGCGAGAACTGCTCGAGAATCACCACAGTTAGCTATGTAGATCTGTTTGGGGGACACGAATGCACAGACGGCCGTAGAACCGGACTTTTCCTCGCCGTTGGAAAGCTCCGGCAGCTCGCGCATCTTCTTGTCGAGGTCAAGGAAGCCGGCGCGAATGGCGTCGGCGATCGCCTCACGCCGAAACTCGTCAGTCTGCAAGATGCACTCGAGCAGGTTGTCGGCGCAGTGCGCAGAGACCCTCGCGCCCGCGTGCCCGTCGAACACCGCGAAGTAGGACCAGTCCGACAGCGTCCCGTTGAGTGTAAGTTGCGCGTGGTGCGCATCCTCCATCTCCACACGCCAGCCCTGCATCGACGCCACGCCATAGCGCAAGCCGTTCCCTTCCCCGCTCTCGTTGTACTTCTTCGTCTCCGGTTTGTTCAAAAATGCCCCCATGCTGAGTCCTCCCTCTCGTATAGTCTGCTATTCGTACATAGTTCCACCATCAGGCACACGAGCGAAAGTTTCCGATAACGTAAAAGGAAAGCAAAACCATCACTGGCACGATACGATCTCGCAGATGGATCACGTCAGACGGGCACGAGAGTTTCACTTGGCGCCAGCTGGGCCCTCGCCGCGCAGACTTTTGTTTCAGCCGTTCCTACGTAATTAGTTTTACGCGATGATGTTGCGTCGATCTCGATGACAAATCGTGCTCAATACGGACTCGTAAAACGAAAAAGCAACTCAAAAGAATGAATGGCGGACATAAATAGTAATTGTCTATGGTTACATTGAAAACGTTTATTTTGTCTCTGGGATTAATTCATAGATTTTTTTTTTCAATCGACCACCCCACTTTTTCAATAATTATCAAAGAGATGATTTTAATGAAACTTGAAACGAGAAAAGACTTTGAAAGTGGCTAAAACGCTTACCGCGAAGAGCCAAGAGAAATAATAAGAAGAAGAATTTAAAAAATCCGGAGTGTAAAAAAGTAAAAAATAAAAATAAAATAAATAAAAGGGAATAAAATCTATGATAATAATAATACTAAACTACCGTACATAGTTATTTTTACTTGACATTGGCAAAATCATTGATTATTTCGATGGGGCCATAACATTTAAAAGAAGAGGAAGAATTAAAAATAACTGTTAAGTAATAAGACTTTGTAATGTTTCTATTCAAAGTTCGTATCCCGATAAATATCGCAGTTACAAAAAGATTATCGAAGCGCAACGATCGAAGCTTTCTTGACATGCACTTAAATACCAGCCATTCCTCAATTCGTTGCATGAAACTTGAAACTAACTACAATACAATTCTACAGGTCGTGACGAAGCCCAGAGTTCGAATTCTGAATAACCTCGAGTCTTATACTTGAGATAATTAATAAATTCAGGTAAAAGGTCAATAGGAAAAATACTATGCAGTACAGTCAGTACCAGTAGAAACAATTCGTCCAGGGAAGTAATACCTACTACCTGTGTTTACTGTCAAGCAGTAATGTGAGTATTACATAAGCATTACTATGTGTCGGTTTTGAACGGTTAGGGTACTGATAAAATTACAGGCATATAGGACTTTTGAACTTTTGTCTCCTGATATCGGGTGCAGTGGCAGTGACCCTCAGATTTTAGCGATTTAAAGCTCTGAACACCACTGCAACTGTTACGGACAGGTGTTCGTCCCGTCACTTGGTACCTACCATAAAAAATGCAGATTCTGATCAAAGATCAATTGGAAATATACAAATTGTCAAATTTGCACGCGCAAATGTGCAGAACGTGTAGAACCATGAAAAATAAGAAAAAAGACAAAAAGACTGCAGCACTTGCATACACTAAAGACAGTACTACCGACGAGGCTCTGTTGACCCGCCAATACGCAATGGATCAGAGTGGCGGGGAAGTGGTAACCCCCAAATTGAAAATCACAGAAAATTATTCCCAAATGCAGTAGCAATCACGGCACTGACGGACGTGTTGTGGAAGCTCTGGCACCAGTGGTTCTAATCTCTGAATGGAATTCGACCGTGGAACGACTATGGCCCTGGCAACTTATAACGCACGCACACTGCGGTCGGACGAGATAATCGTCAAGCTGAAAGAGGAGGTGGACAAGTTACACATGGACATCGTGGGGCTGTCGGAAGTCCGTAGAGAGGGGAGGACTCGATAGCCCTGAAATTTGGCAACTTGTTCTACTTCAGGGAAGGTGACCAGCAATCCCAGGGGGGTGTCGGGTTTATCGTCCACAAAGCCCTCATTGGCAACATTACATCCACCGGGAGTGTGTCAAGCAGGGTTATACCTTATACTCAGAGTATCCAAGCGCAACTCATTGAAAGTCCTCGACACACTCAGATGAGGAAGTTGATGACATAAGTCGAGCCATAAACACCTCACAAACACATTTCGATGTTGTCATGGGGGATTTTAACGGTAAACTTCGCAGTCAAAGGGATAATGTACCCAGTAGGGAAATTTGGTTATGGGCAGCGAAATTCCAGGGGCCGAGTACATGTAAAAGGAAGGACTCGTTATGACGACCTCCTTCCAAAGTCAAAGTTAAAGTCAAATAATCATTTATTCCATAGGTAAAATTTTACACTTGAAAACGTCATTTTTTAAGCTACTGCACTTTCACTAAGCGTAAGCTAAGGTCAGCGGACCTCCCTGAGAAGAACGAGCAAGAAACTCTAGGGATTGCTCTTTTCAAATATACTTAAATGCTATAGAATACACTTTGAATCATATTTGTGTGGATTCTAGACTCACGTGGTCTTTCCTAATCTTCCTAATCTTTATTTAACACGTAGTCTACAATTTTGTAATGTGACTTTTCAATTAAAATACTTTTAATGTAAGTTTTAAACTAAGGAAATGGTAAACTTAATATATTATGCTCCGGAATCTTATTGTAAAAACGTATACAGTTCCCCATAAAAAAATTTATCAAACGAAAATGTGGTACCATGAGTTTGGACTTAGTTCTAAGGTTAATATTATGGATATCTTCTTTCTTAACGAAGTTATGTATATTTTTGCGGGCATACAAAATATTTGAGTAAATATACTGTGATGTCACAGTCATGATACTAGTCTCCTCTAGTCTTTTCTCTGAGAGAAATCCAAGAACCTAAACGGTACACATAACGAATCACTCGTTTTTGCATCCCAAATATGGTTTGTTTATCTGCCGCTTTACCCCACATGAGAATCCCGTAGGACATCATACTATGGAAGTAACTAAAGTAAACTAATCTAGCAGTAGCAACATCGGTAAGTTCACGTATTCTACGAACTGCGTATGCAGCAGAGCTCAATCTGCTGGCTACGGAAGATATATGTGGAAACCATTGGAGTTTACTGTCTAAGGTCACTCCCAAAAAGACAGCTTTATTAACAAGGTCTAACTTTTCTCCAACTTTTCCAAAAGCCGCCTCAAATAAAACGGACCTGGTTAAGTCCCGATAGTGTCACAAGGAATGATACAGACTTCATATTGACCGACAAGAGACAGATGTTCAACAATGTTTCGGTGATCAACAGGGTAAAGTGGAAGCGATCACAGGATGGTAAGAGGCTTGTTGAATATCGACCTCAAACGCGAGAAGTCACGACTGATGAAGTCTACTCTCCGACTTAGCGGTGCCCATATAAATTACCCGAAAAGTTTCGGCTCGAACTTCAAAATCTTTCGAGATTAGCAACTGGTACGTGGTGATACGGTTGGGTCAAAATTCTTTAGGACCAGCCGCAAGGATAAGCCGCAGAAACTCTCCGATCATAGTCTCAAACTAATGGCAAAACGACGAGCTATAACCAGAAGTCGTCTGAGGACGCTAATACCAACAATATTAAAGATACCATAGAGCGGAACAAGGGCTCCAAAGTGTTTGCAAGGGTTATATGTATTGGGCAAAGTCAGCTTACAAAGCTGAAGACGGAGGACGGCAGCGTCGTATCGACCAAGCTAGAGGTACTGGGGGAGATCGAGAGGTTTTACAGTAGTCAACTATATGCTTCGATTATTTAGCCTGTTGCTGATTCAAAAGATCCTAGAGCCAAGCTCACTCCACTCTACTGAGGATATCCCGGACATCAGCCTGTACGGGATTAGGATGACCCTGAAACAGCTAAAAATAACAAGCACCTGGTAAAGACGGAATTACATCCGAGATTCTGAAAGCGGGCTAAATAAATAAATATATAAATACCGGTACTAAAAGTCTTTCAGAAACTCTTTAATTAGGTCAGAAGCGTAGAGTAGAAGCGTGGTGATACTCTACTTCAAAAAGGGAGATTACACCCTACTGAAGAACTAAGGTCCATCTCATTTCTAAGCCTCGTTTATAACCTATTTTCACGAGTCATCAACAACCGTCTCGCCAGCTGATTCAATGACTTCCAGCCCCAACAAGCCAGTTTCCGAAAGGGCTTCAGTACCATATACCACATCCACGCTCTGCGGCAGGTTATACAGACGACCGAGGAGTATAAACTGAAGCCTTTGGTTGGATCGAGATTTGGGCGGCACTACAGACTCTACAACATTGACTATCAGTTTCTTTCAAAAAGTTTCACTTTCAAAGTGTTTTGACTAATTAGTTTTCAAAACGGGGAAACTTTAATAGATCATTCATCGTGCCGTTTGTCCTTTAAACTCTTAGGCTCAACTCACGCTGGCGCAGAGTCAAAGCGACGCGTCGCGTCTTGTTTTTCAACACAACGCCTGGCGAGGCGAGTCGACGCGCGACGACGCTCGCATTAGTGCGCCCGGATCACAGTGTGGTCGGCGTCTGACGCGTCACTGCGTTCAAGAAGCCGCTCAACTGCAACCAAGTGTCGACGCGCGGCGCCATATTTGCATAACACAAATTTGTACCTTATAATCATTGACTTACAATTATATGGACGTCGGGTCCGCGCTAAAAAGTGTCCGAACTTATAGGGCGTTAAAATCGTATACAGAGCGTCATTCACGCTTTAGTCTTCGTTTGTTCGACTGACAGCGAAGCAAGCAAAATTAGACAGTGCTGCGATGACATTACAATTTAAATTCAACGTTTTAGCTTTTTCATATTCCTTTACATGTCACTACGTTTAAATAGGTTGACTTGGGACATTTTTTTCGTGATTTTTGTTTTAGACCCGTCGTCCATTTATTTGTAAGTCAATGCTTATAATGGGAAGATAGAGATGAACATGCTATAGGCGAAAAACATGACGCGTCGCGACGCTTCGACTCTGCGCCAGTGTGAGTTGAGCCTTAAGATGGTATTTTCTTACTTCTACACTTCTATCTATCGATGAAACTTTCAATCCTATATGCTCTAAGCGTATGCTCGTTGTTAAAGACAACTTTGGTATTAGTTCCTCTTTTTTATGGTCCAATTTGTTAACTGTCTCGAAAAGTGAAGAACAAAAAATCCTAATTAGAACCGTAGAGAAAAACTTACATGTATGTCTTGTATTTGTATCAATATTATGTGAATATCTTTCAATCAACCTCTAAACTTTGAACCCGGGCACTGGTAAAATTGACATCAGCGCGACGGAAACCGAAAGCTACAAATAATATACACTAAAAAAATTTTGTATTTTATTTAAGTCAATGATTTTATTACAATTTTTACCTTTCATTCTCGTTAGCAAACATAGGCTTAAATTACTAAGCAAAAAACGATACGAGTACCGCCGCCGCCGCGCCGTGCCAATAAAAAAAGAGCACCACCATCCCAATAAGCAAAAATAAAAATATATTTATCAGAGAGCATGGCTTATAGACTTAGAGAATAGAAAAAATAAATAGTCAAAACTTAACATCCATAACATCCTTTAGGATGGAAAAAAAGTCTAAGAAACTTATAGACCTATTTCGACGTCAGGGAACCTTAGACGCACCATCATGCCAGCATACCATGGTGCCAACCATAGATATAGAAAAAAAAGGTGCTAACCGTTTGTATTCCAATAGAAAAATGCTCCTAATTTATACACCTTCGCAAATTAGAAGACACACAATTTCTTATCGTGCTCGTTCGCGAAGAGCATGCATTATTCAAAATTTAGAACACTTGTTTTAAACGCCTATGCACTATCATATCTTGAAACCTTATTCATATAGAAAAATTGATTTCGTCACTTTGGAAGACGAAAATTATACTTGTGCGCCAATGCAGGTAAGACTCAGACGACAGTTCTTGATATGCATTTTTATCACCAATTGTACGCCTGTGCATGTTCTCTCACCCACGTGTCTTCTCACAGAACAATAAAACACAGTAGAAGAACGACGAAGTGCTTACATTGCTTGTCACGTGTGCCAACAGTTCGCGGAGTCCCACAAACTTGAGCTGTCTCGCCCAAAACCTCGCAAATCGTAGAAAAATGTCTTATATTCGCTACTTTGAGTGCAAAAATGATAGTCGCACTTAGAATATTATCTATGGTGGTGTTTCATATCATTAAATCTTTATTTCATTTTAAAAACTGTTTATCGTAATCATTTTTTGTTGCGTGACACGAAAGTAAATACCGCTGTAATGTGGTTGCTTCTTTGTTCGATTAGTAACTATCTCGAATTCGTCGTCGTTCAGCTATTAATTGGTAAATGGCAGCACATTGATTGAAATTTTAATCTATGAGAACAAAACGTCCTAACTTGCATTAATAGGAACGTTATGCTAACGGTACGCAAAAGCTCGCAAAAGAAAGTTCATCATTGGCTGTTAGGTTTTATACCTTTGCCATTTCTATAGCGGATAGAAACGTCAAGAGAACACCAAGCTTGACATTTTAATATTTTGGACCGATCTGAACCTTTTTTTCCCCATCCTCTAAGATCTGAACACTAGCGGCATACAGTTGGATTTAATTGTTAAGTGTAAAGCTTGACGTACTTAAAATGAGAACTATCCAAGATACGAAAAAGTCTCAATAATATTAATTAAATGTAAAAGATTTTACACGGCTCTACTGAAATACTGAAGACTTAAATTATCGAAACATTTTGTACTGAAGAAAAAGAGAAACTAATGACTAGGCAGTATGGTCTCTGACCTACGCCTGTACTATGCGGAGCGAAGGAAAAAAATCTTCATAGTCAAATCATGGTCAAATGTTGCTCAAATCAAATGACCCAAAATGAAGAATAGGCTGTGTGGTGTCATGCCAAAGCTGTTAAAAGTCTACGTAAAAAAAATCCAATGTCAAACTTGCCAAAGCACGAAGTGAGGTTAGGAATTCATAAAACTGTAAGGTGCTTGGGATTTTATTATTTTTTGTATCAACACCACTGTTATTTTACAGTTTACTAGAACGATCATATACAAAAGCTAATGACACCATATAGTTTTATGAAGTTTTGTTATAAATAATATATTATAACCTCAAGAGTACAAGAACTAAATAATATGTTTTTCATGGTTATAATATTTAAGTGTATTGCATAACATAAAACATGTTTAAGAGTCTGTTGTTTCGATGGTAAGCCAGTTTGGTTTTGTTGCTTATTATAGCAATAATGGGGCATGTGTTATACCCACATATATCTAGATAGACGCCGCAAGTGTACGTAGTTCGCGTGTCCAAAGTAAGTAATCGTCGTGCAAAACGACGGACCCGTAGATACAAAAGTTGAGGTTGAGTTGAAATTCACTTACTTGCTGCTGCTACACTTCAGAACGCGCTCGACCGTTATCGTAGATAAACACCAGTCCAAAGCGCGAAAAATGCATAATGTGCCACCATAAACTGCAAAGTGGGTAAACGGGTAAGTAGGCACATTTCCTTCCACGGGCAAGTGATTTTGTAACCAGAAGATGCATAATTTATTTTACTAAATATCTAAATACAATTATATTGGTTTTGTATGAATTTCGAGAAAACGAACATGCAACTCAGTGTATGCCTCATGATTTGTAATACATTGCGGCTTTTACTTGGTGCGATATATTTGTGATCCTTTGTTAATACGCCATGAATATCGAATGAACGCTCTTTTGTATAATGCCGCCTTCAGTTTCGTGGTACGGCCACTTGTACATTTCTTTGGCCAAATTTAACATCTTACTGATGTATATGTTAGGCAACACTGTTCTCGATTCTGATAGATTTTGAAAGCAAAGAGACGAAAATTTTTATGACCTTTGCAATATTATATAAATATTCTATAACTCTTTTATCATAATGTTTAGTAATGTTTCGTGTTTTTCAGTTTTGTAGTATCTTTTATGAGTAGTTTCTGTAATTTCGATAATTTTTGCAGCAAGTTGCCTCGAATGTCCGAATATAGTGAGCCACTAATTATATACATTGCCGGATATGTAGTACGAGTAATACAAAAAAACAAATAATGCAAAGAATTAACAGTGCACTGTCTTTACAAAAACCTGGAGTTGGTCAGTTCATTGCTTTCGAGGACGAAGTTCGTCTAGTTGATATCTTAGGTGATATACTAAGATGCTATCCAAATATGCAGAGTCGCAGAGTTAGAAATCCGAGAAATAATAAACAAGTCACAAAAATTTCATATATGAGGTGGTCATTTAGTAAACCTCTTTTGGTTAATAAGATTTTGCCATATTTTGTCATCAGTAACATTTTCATTTGATTAAATTGATGAATGGCAAGAGCCATTCATCAATTTGTCAATTTCCAACAGAAAACCATCTAGTTCATATATTGACATACATTTTCATTATTTAAGTTAATCAGTAAGATCTTCTATTACAAAAAGATGTTATATATAATAAGCTCATTTTATTGGAAGGACAATAATTTTAATAAAAATTAAGGTCTTAATTTTTTTAAGTAATCAACATTTTTAAAAACTAGTAAAATAAAGGACTTAAATATCTTATTCTAGTATTTTTCTATTATATTAATATTACGACTACTTGTAATCAACAAATACTTGAACATTATTAAATTTTTCTAAATTATTCTATTCAGAATCGATAAATTTAATGAAATACGCGCGTTTACACGTATTCCGTTCAATCAATCGGTTTAGAGCGAGCAGAAGGAGGTTTCCATCACTAAATAGTTCTTGTGACGTTATTGTGGGTACAAAAAATGTGGCACGCTTGGTTTTCATACAAATTGTTCGTTCAAGTTGTACTTGCGGCGTCTATCTAGATATATGTCTGTGTTTATACCAATATCTATTACTTAGAGCTTATAAATGTTATAAATTAAAATTGTTTATTACCATCAATTATTTGGTAACAGTGATACAAAGTTAATAGTTGCAGATGTTATTAACATTTTTTTTAAATTGGTTCAGTTCTAACCTTCCAACTTTTTTTACCAATATGAATCCAAACCAAAATCAGAAGTAATAGGTTACCTTGTAATTCACTCAGTCAATTCTGCTATCTACTATGTGTTTTTCTAAGTTCGTTACCTTGCATGGAATGTCATTCTCAATTGCTTTTGTTCAGGTTTCCATTAAGGTCAATTCAGAAGGAAAGTGTACAGCAGCTGGCAGAGTTAAAGCAGAGCCCTTTCCACATTTGTCAAAGGCACAAACCATTTTCTGCCTCCGTTGTTTGCTACAAGAAGAGGAAATCCATTGAGGAGAGGGTGGGACTAGTTTGTAAATATGTATAAAAAAATTTTGCAGTTGTATTAAGTAACAAAAATTACAAAACAGTCATATTATTATTACCAACTAACTGAATTACATGTGACATTATCACTACAATGATCTGGTTTTAAAATGGTGCTTTTCCTGTACTTTGTTATTCTCAGAGTCACTAAATTGATTGACTTACACTACGTAAAGCAACCAAACTAAGCTTGGTATATAAAATTCATTCAAATGCATTTTGATCCAGGCAGTGGAGAACCAGGGTCGCAAAGTATTCAGATACTCGAAAGCGAACTCTGATGTCGTAGGCATATGGCGAAACATGACAGTCCGGGAAATTGCACAAGTGCTTAACAAGGATGTTGGTATGTATATTTTTAATAGCTATAGTTTAAACAAATTTGTTAAGTTTATAAAAAAGATTGTCTTTGTTACTGAACAAAATGTCTTTCAATATTTCAAATAGTGCCCAATTGTTTCAAGAAATGAGAAGTCTAAGAATTAATTGGATACAAATACTGACAAATCAATTTCAAACCTTGAAATGGCTTTGTTTTAAATTTACGATTGATAATTTTTAAATACAAAGATTGAAATCAAAGAAAACATCCTTCGACCCGGCAGGACTGAAACCTGCGACCACAGGATTCCGTCCTCATAGCTTTTATCAAGTAAGCTACAGGTCGAGTTTATTAAGTCGTCCAATTTCTTCTGTGTCTGTATAGATCTTTGCATTGTTTGATCTTTGTATTTAATAATTATAACAAACTAATGGAGTTATTTCACATAAAAAATTAACACAAATCAACAGTATATGTTTAAGATTAATTTTTGCAATATCTAGAAGAATATTATGATTGTGGATGTTAGGCTCAAAAATAAAGTTCAAGACATACAAGCATACAGCAGTAGTCCTTTAGACACAGACCTCTTCTTAGTAAGCCGGTTAAGAGGTCTTTTCAAACGTTGACGTCACCACGTGAAGCAGCTTGCAACAGTCATGGAACGAATAAGAGTGGAAATGCTGCAAGATGAAGGAGTCAGTGATGAATATAAGAAGAAGTTAAGAGATAGATTCGACAAGTCACAGGTGAGCTATGTAGTGGGAAGGAACTTGAAGACTTATGGAAGTTATTAAAAAAAAATGGTAACAAATGTGGTAATCGAGGTATGTTGTGTGTCTAAGAGGAAGAAAGGATGTCTAAACATGAATGTATGTTAGGAAATGAAACTATTTTTCCGGATTTAAATCGCGTATATTTGTTTTTTCAAACAAATCGACGTTTCGGGCCCTTTACATGTCTTATGGTCACGGTTGACTGAGATGGTACAGTCTTTAACCAGTTATGTCTAATATTAAAGCAAACCACCCTATTTTTTCACTTTAGTTATTAATTAAATACCTTATTTTTAATTTTACAAAAGAAAACATTCCAATTTACGCTACATTAAGTTTTACACATTATTTAATTGAATGAATTTTTATTAAGTTCAATTTATTATTAATTAATAATAGAAATTAGAATAAACTAAAACATATTAATTAGTACGGCAGTCTTATGTTTGTTTGGGATTTTTCATCAGAGGAAATACTGGATCCCAAACTGGTAGTACGGAGAAACCATCTTCCCTGTTGAAATTAGGATGTTTTTTAATTTCAATGGCCTCTCGCAGTATCCAATCAATGTCTGGTAGTGAGTGTTGGGTGTGATAGAAACAACATGAAAGTAGGGTGAATGCTGTAGAAATTAGAGCTTCATGCGATTATCATACTGTTCCGCACCACGCAACAGAGTGCGCAGGACGACGGATCATGCGCCCATGTACGCTGCACGTGACGGATCATGTACGGCCTGTGTTTTCCATACAAACGGAGTAACTTTGCTATAACGTTAATACCGGTATAACATTATAATAACGTTAAAAAACGAAGCTCCGCACATCGTTGCGTGGCGCGGAGCAATGTGATAGGTAATCGCCTTACGCAATATGTACCTACGTTATAAGTAAGCAGTAGAGCTCCTTGTGAAAGAGTGAGTCCAGGTAAGTATTGCCACCTTACCTATTTCCGCCGCCAAGCAGTAATGTTTTAGCATTACTGTAATCCGGTTTTGAAGGGCAAGGGTGCTGATGAAATTGCAGTCACACGGGACGTGTCTACTTATGTCTCAGGGTGACGGGCGCAGAGGCAGTGCCCCTCAGATCTTTGCGATTTGAAGCTCCGAGTGGCACTGTAACTGTTATGTATAGGCGTGTAGCTTACCATCAGGCGCACGACTTGTTCGTCCCGTCACTTGATATTAAAAAAAAGTTTTTAAAGACATAATGCCGACCAGTAAGTGGGCGTTGTAGTATGAAAGTTGATGAAGTGACCAGGATAGATAGGGGGATGCTTTGGTCATGTAGAAAGAATGAATGCTGGTAGATTGACGGCACAAATTCATAAAGTGTGGTTGAAGGCGCGAGAAGGTGAGGTAAACCTCGGCGTACATATCTCAATCAGATTGGGGATGTCCTTAAAAAAGGTCGCATGTAGAGATTGATGGGAGTGGAGGAGGCAAAGGAGGTTTGTCGGGAGCGTAGCAAGTGGAGATCCTTAGTCTCTGCCCACCCCGGTGGAAGACAGACGTGATGATATGTATGTATGCATGTATCTAGAAGAAATTAATTCTTTACTGCTACCAATTAAAAACATAACAGGTAACAAGCCGAGTGTGGTGCAGCACGCAACAGTTTTCTCTAAATGACACATCAAGTCAACTGCACGTAATTGTTTTATAGGGAACTCGTGAACTAACAGCGTTTATAAACTAGTTTAGAGTGAGCATACATAATACTTGATGTCTTATCTTTTAATACAGATCACGTGTTTCGAGCGTTAGAGTTCGCAGACAAGAATTCAGACAGTCAGTATAAGGAGGACACAGTGGTGCACAACCCGCAGGTGATCCGCGATGTGGTAAAAATTTCCGGCTGCCGTTTCAAGATCGTGCCGCCCCCAGATAAGGCGCTCGAAACGGAGGAGGTACAATTTGGTTTTTTCTTTCTTTTAAAGTAACACTTAGCTCTCATCATATATGATGAGATGATATCACCGAATGATGATTCCGCTAACCTGAAGTTAACGAAGACACGTATTTATTACACTTAGTCGCTTTACCTAAAATAAAAAAGGTAAAAATAGGTAAAAACCTATTTTTACCTTCATTACCACGCTTTCGGTTTAGGCTTAATGGCCCGAACATTTGTAAAGTTGTTATTCTGCCCGTGTGGCATACAATGTTTTCACACTTAGATGAAAGCTAAAAACTTTAAGAGAAAAAGATACTTAAAAATGAGGGTGTGTCAGACAGGAGTCTTCTATCCCAGAAAATGTCGACAAAAATAAAAACTACACAAGTTCATCATCATTACATGAACAATGCGGAAGTTATAACCATCTAACGACCTTGTCACTCCGTGATGAACTAGCCCTGGGAGACAGGAATGTGTGCAACAATAAATTATGCAGCACTAAATCGTAAGATCTAAGATTTTCCAAATTAACCAACCTGAAAAGAAAGAAATCGAAAACACTTAAGAAACTAAAATCAGCAAAGTTAAATTTACACAAGGTTGTCCTTGATGAAGATGGAGATGAAGATGAAGGTGAAGATGGCCGAACAAGTGAAAGATCTAGAGTTACATCTTCAATCGCGAACTAAAGACCTACTTTCTACGCAGAAACAACTAGAAGAACTTTCAGCTGCAATTAATGAACTTTTAAAGCTGGGTACTGAGTATAAAGAACTTACTCAAGTCCTTCTTCAGGATGAGCTTAGTGAAACAAATGATCCAGTAGAAATAAATCAGACTCTATCCCCAGCACCCACATCATCAACGCAACCAGCACGTGCATCGTATGCCAGCGTTGCTGCAGGAAAACGTATCTGCCACTATAACTGTTGAAATTCGCCACAGTCAACGGTCAACCAAGACTATTAGAACTCCTACCAGGCCATCCAGAAGAACGGTAGTTTTTTCTGATAAAATAGGCGTAAGATTAGGCCACCACCTAAGTAACCACACAACAAAGGGTAGTCAACTATTGCTATCCAGGAGTTAATTTTAGTCAAATTATTACACTGTTAAGTGGTTGCAAATAAACTACAACATATTAATTAGTACTGCAGTCTTATGTCTGTTTGGGATTTTTCGTCAGAGGAAATACTGGATCCCAAACTGGTGGTACGGAGAAACCATCTTCCCTGTTGAAATTAGGATGTTTTTTAATTTTAATGGCCTCTCGCAGCATCCAATCAATGTCTGGTAGTGAGTGTTGGGTGTGACAGAAACAACATGAAAGTAGGGTGAATGCTGTAGAAATTAGAGCTTTAGGCGATTATCATACTGCCCCGCACCACGCAGCAGAGTGCGCAGGACGACGGATCATGCGTCCATGTACGCCACACGTGACGGATCATGAACGGCCTGTGTTTTCTATACAAACCGAGAAACTTCGCTATAACGTTAATACCGGTATAACGTTATAAAGAAGTAAATAGTAGCATTGACGTGTTCTTGAGAATTCATGAGAAGTGTGGGTGTAAATTCATACTAAGTGCCCTTACTGTTCTAACCTAGGCATCGCTCGTAATAAGTTTATATATAACATAAACTCGCACATTCATAATTTGACTTGCCGTCATAGTGACGTTATATTTTGTTTTGACATTAATAAGTTCGTAAGGAACTTCAAACTTTTTTAGGATAATTTACTTTTACCCATAAGGTATCTGAGACATATAGCTAGTTTGCTATCTTTTAATATTAAGGACGCTGTTATAGAAGATATAACACAGTCCCACGACAATGCTCCTACTTTAAGTAGCAACAGTATACTTATTACTAACCATAATTTAAACTGAAAAACACGACAACAGAAAAGTCTAATCGTTTCCTTATAGTACATCAAAATAGTCAAGGCTTTTCTGGCAAAACATTAGAAATAAGTCTTTTTTTGCACGATATTTCCGTTGACGTGTTTTGTGTTACAGAACACTGGCTGAAAGACTACGAAGCAATTAACAACATAGAAAATTATGTAATAGTCAGTTCATTCATAAGAAATAGCTTAAGTAGAGGTGGATCCATGATTATTATTAAGCGTAACTTAAAATTTAAAGAGCGTAAGGATATCACAGATCTTTCTACTGAACGAACTATTGAGATTTCATGTGTGGAATTGGATCAGTTTGTCGTTTTATGTGTATACAGGCCCCCCTCTGCTAATTTTAACGAGTTTGAATTAATTATGGAAGATAGTTTAAAGCGGATTTTTCCAACCAAAAAAAAAAACGTAGTAATATGTGGAGATTTCAATGTAAACCTGTTGGAAAACTGTTCTACTTCTGTAAGACTCATTAATTTATTTAAAAGTTTTAACTTGATTAACCTTTTCTTAGAACCAATTCGCATCACTTCCTATTATACTTGTATTGATAACATCTTTTGTAACACAGACGCAGTGTCTAAATCAATAATTAATTGCTTACGATCAGACCATAGCGGCCAATTGACTTCTTTTAATTGTAAAATGAGCAAGAAGGTAGACCAATTTCTCTGCAGACCGATTACCACAGAACGAATCATTAGATTTCGAAATAATACCGGCAATAGCTTAAATTCCATACCCCATATACCGGAGGTTCCAAATACTTTATATAGCACGATACTTGGTTTAATTAAAAATGAACTTGATAATGTATTTAAATCGAAAACATTAACTTTCTATAGAGAGACTAAATTCAACGACTGGGCAACAGTAGATATTCATAAGATTAGGTCTCGTTTGTATGAGCTATATGCTATGAAAACTTATTATACTAATTCCAATTTCAATGAATATGTTAGAAATTATTTAAAAAAGTATGTGTAGTTGCAGGTTAAGTTTCACAGCGACAAAGTTAGACAATCGATGAATAAATCTTAAACTACTTGGAGCATAATAAATAAAGAGTCAGGTAGGGTTAAACAACACGATAGAGATGTAGTTTTAGAATTAGACAGCAAACTTATAAAATCTAAAGACAAGGTAGACCAAGCCTTTGAATCGTTCTTTTCGAAATTGCTGTGATCACTACAGAATCATTAAATTCCTCCCCTTCTCTTGCTATTGATCTCCTAAAGGAAAATGTTAACGTTTGTGGCAGTTTATTTAATTTCTGTCATATTAATTCACAAGACATCATAAAAGCTTTTAAATCAATACATATTAAAAAAACTGAAGATAACTGGGGCATATCAACCAAAGTTATAGACTCAGTTATTGATCTAATTTCCCCACATTTAGCTGTAGCTTTCAATAGGTGCGTTAATCAAAAGCGGTAAGAAAGTTGATCCTAGCAACTATAGGCCCATTTCAATTTTACCAGCTTTAAGTAAAATATTCGATAAGGTTATGCTGACTGAATTACTGGTCCTATTTCGGTAGGAATCATATTTTTCATAGTGAACAATACGGATTTACTAGTGGTAGATCGATTAGCGATGCGGGGGTAGCGTTACTAAAACACATCTTTGATGCTTGAGAAAGGTCGCTATTGGTGTTTTCTGTGACCTCTCAAAGGCATTTGATTGCATTGATCTTATTACTCTTATTAGGAAGCTGGAACATTACGGTGTAAATGGCAAGGCGTCGAAACTGTCTCGTCATATCTCAACGGTAGAATTCAGAAAGTAGACATAAATGGAGTGACTTCTTTGGGTTCTCCGGTAAAAATGGGTGTTCCCCAGGGCTCAATACTTGGACCTTTCTTATTTCTAATTTATATTAATGATCTGCCATTCTTTGTTAAGGACTATTGCGAAATAGTGTTGTTTGCTGATGACACATCCTTGATTTTTAAAACAGACAGACATGACATTAACTATGACCGTATTAATGATACCCTCTCTAAGGTAGTTTATTGGTTTAATGCTAACAATTTATTGCTTAATGCCAAGAAGACAAAATGTGTTAAATTTGAATTACCTAACGTAAAATCGACTAGTCCAAGCATAGA